AAAGAAAAGAAAGAAAAGAAAGAAAAGAAAGAAAAGAAAGAAAAGAAAGAAAAGAAAGAAAAGAAAAGAAAGAAAAGAAAGAAAAGAAAAGAAAAGAAAAGAAAGAAAAGAATACAGAAACAAGGTCCTACCTGAAGTTCCTAATGTCACCTTTGGTTTCTTTCCCCCCTCCCAGGATCAACATAACTTCTTATGAGATCTTTCAAATGGATTTTGGAATCGACAACAGCAGTGAGTTGGCTGGAGCACAACAAATTACCTGGCAGGTCGAGTATCCTCGAGATGAGGCCGCGAGTGAGCTGGTGGTCTCCGAGATCTTTGTCAGCCAATCCATGTTCCTGGGAATTGTTCCCCTTGCGATGGTAAGTGTTTTGTTTTCAACCAACGTTTCCCTGTTAAGCTTCTGCCAATTTCCCTTCTGATGAGGCTACCCGGTTAGGAAATGAAACCAATGATATTGCATTCGTCTATGGTGACATTGTCCCTATCCAGATCTTCTTGGACAACCAGGAAGATTCACGAGGCTTCCATTCCCACAACACTATTTCTCTAGAGCAGGGGTGTCAAACTCGATTTCATTGAGGGCAGCATCAGGGTTGTGTTTGACCTCGGAGGGCTGGGGGCGTCACCATGGTGGGCGTGGCCATGGTGGCAGTGGTTGGATAAAAATAATTTAACAATCGGTTCTCTGCCCTTATGATTTCTTCCAATAACCAGTTCACCAAACTGCTCAGAAAGTTAACAACCGGTTCTCCTGAAGTGGTACGAACTGGCTGAATCTTACCACTGCATGGTGGGCATGACTGGCGGTGGGCATGACACGGGACTCGTGTCGGGGGTACCCGTGGTGGCCAAGTGCACAATTTCCATGAGACCCTCCCTCACTCTCATTATAACCTACCTACCTTCCTTCCTTCCTTCAAAGGTCAAACCCTTCCTTCCTTCTCTTCTTTTTCTTTTTCCTTTCTTCTCCTTTCTTCTTCCTTCCTCTCTTCCCTGATTTTTTCTTCCTTGCTCCCTTCCCATCTTGCCTTCTTTTTCTTTGTCTTTCCTCTTTTTTTCTCCTTTCCTTCTTGTAAGCTCAATTGCAAAAGGGAAACATTTCTCCTTTCGCTTTGAGGGCTGCAGGAGGCCATCGCAGCCGAAAATAGGGTGTGGAAGAGGCATGCACATCCCCCGAGCTACGTTTTTTGCTTTACCCAGGCTGGCCCCATGGGCTGGATCTAAGCACCCTGTGGGCTGGATCTGAACCGCAGGCCTTGAGTTTTGACACCCCTCCTCTAGAGAAAAAGAACGTCTTGATGGTGAGAAACATCAAAAGGAGGAATGTCAAGCCTGAATTCGATTGGGGTGGTAGATTGTTTGTCTCCTTGGGCATTCTGACATGAATTCAGTTCGACACAGGTTGTGGCTGAGGGGTGATGGAGCCAGTCCAAACATCATTCCTAACTGATGTGTCAGCCACATTCCAATGTCTGGCTGACCGGAGGAGGAGGAGGAGAGGAGGGAATCAACGTTGCTGAGCAACCAGTTCCCATCTTGGTTGGACAATGTGACTCTTGTTTTGAAAACTTGAGAAAACAGAAACTGGTGAAAATCCTGAGAACCTCTGAATTGGCTTTTCATCATCATTCATTGGCATCCATCAGTCTCAAAAGACAAGGGTATTGTGCTCTGGAAAGAGGTCAAAGCTGGAGTGTCCTCTCCAGAGCACGAGGCCTGGGTAGATTAATATGGAGGATAGACTGTTACCCAAGCAGCAGATCCCCCCTCTCCACATTTCTGAAATAGTCCAATGGAATGGCGGAGCCGATACGGTTGGTTCCAGCTGCATCACATGAGTTACCAGAACGTGGTTGTACACAATCATGANGGTGAAAGTAATTCATCGTTGGAACAGCTTGCCTCCAGAAATTGTGGGTGCTCCAATACTGGGATTTTAAAGAAGAGATTGGACAACCATTTGTCTGAAATGGTATAGGGTTCCCTGCTTGAGCAGGAGGTTGGACTAGAAGACCTCTAAGGTCCCTTCCAACTCTCTTATTGTGTTATTCTGTTCTGTTATTCTGCTAAGAATTCTTTACTAGCTAGAAGGTGTATATTGAAGTTGACAACTCTTCAGATGTTGTGCTGTTCTTGCAGGAGAAATCAAATATTGCATATGAGGTCAAAGTAGGGGTTTTCTAGGAATAAGGCAATAGAGCAGGGGTGGCAAACTGGCAGCCCTCAGGCCAGATGCATCATGCACAGGCCATGCTCACTTTGGTTCCATGAAGGGGAAAATATCATGAAATGCCACATGACAGCAATGTGATGTGGAAAGTTTGAAATCCGTGCAATGGAGAAAGCAAAAGAAACAGGACCTTGGAGAGCTCCAACCAAGTGAGATGTGCTCCTATTACGCTGTAGAAGGAAGCTGTTGCTCATCCTTGGGTGTCTCGGCTACTCTATCCCTGAAGAAGTTGTTCTGTTCTCAAGAGTGAACCTTCCTATGAGAGAAAAAAGAGGATCTTGTACTTTTTTCTCTGCTTCGGTCAACCAAAAAATATCATCTTCATCCTTTGTTCCTTTGACATATGCCAGGATGGCTCTGAACACACACATTCAGCTTTTTTGTGGATTGTAATAACATCTTTACTGGCATTAGAGAGCTTTTGGTGTGTGCTATTCTTCACCTTCCTTGAACATCAGAATGAAGGCAATTCAGTTTCCCCCCAATTTTTCCTTCTCTAGGTCACTCTTGAATTCAAGAGTTTTGCTGGGCTCCCAGACAAGCTGGCAATAGGCCTGAATTGAATTGACAGTTAATTACCTACCAAGCCAGAGGTGGAAGAAGCCATCATTCTTAATACTCTAGGAAGGACCTGAGTCAAGGGGTGATGGTTAGAGCTAAGGAGCCATTAAAAAAACTAAGCTGCAGAGGGAAAGATAGAGAGGGAGGGATGAGGAAAGGAAGGAAGGAAAGAAGGAAGTAAGGAAGGAGAAGAAAGGGAGAAGAAGGAGGGCATAGAGCATAAGAAGGAAGGGAGGAAGGATAAGAAAGGGAGAAGAAGGAAGGAAGGCATAGAGCACAAGAAAGAAGGGGGGAGAGAGGAAGGAGAAGAAAGAAGAAGGAAGGAAGGAAGGAAGAAGGAGAGAGGAAAAAGGAAGGAAGGTATGGAGCATGAGAAAGGAAGGAAGGAACAAACAAACTTTGAAAAGTTTTTAGCACTTGTTTTTTTATAGCCACAACCTGGGAAACTATATGGAACAAAGAGCACAAATTGATTCCCCTCTTCCCTCTGTGTTGTGGCTGGGGGATGTTGTGTCCCAGTTCCTGAACACTTGGCCTAAATGATTGGTCTGCAGAATAGATGGATGGAAACAAGGACCTGGGATGGAAGAACTACCCCCATCCGCTCTTCAGTGGCCAAAGCTTCGCTTCCTAGGCCAGCTCAATCTGTGAATCAGGTCTCTGGTTTAAAACAGAAGGTCAAGGTAGTTATTCTCTAACACAATATCTAATTAGCAGAGAATTGCTCTGAGAGGTGAAAACAGCATTTCCTCCCCTTCCTGGCAGCAGGAAAGAGAGAGGGGGGGGGAGAGGGAAAGAGAGAGAGCGAGATTAGAACAAAAGGGCTGCACTAATCTCTCTCTTTGTGTGTTTCTCTTTGTCTCTGTCTCTCTCTCCCTCCCTTTCCCTCTCCCTCTCTGTGTCTGTCTCTGTCTCTCTGTCTTTCTCTCTGGCTCTGTGTCTCTGTCTCTTTCTGTCTCTCTGTATGTCTNTGTCTCTGTATGCTGGTTTGTGTGTTCTCCAACACAACTCTCACAATGCTTTTCTGAATGCACTCGCTCTCCCAACGGGGAGCTTACAGAACAGTTCCTCCAACCCTCTCCTTAATGCCTTTGCAAAGGTTTGCCTTGATGACTCCCGAGTTTTGTCAAAAAAAATCTAACAACTCTGCAGAAATTTTCAGAGGTGGGGGGGAGTGAAAAGTTATAACCGAACATCCGAATTTTACGGCTGGGCTTTTGTTTGGGGGAGCTGTTCAATCAAGGCTGTGGGGAAGCAATAAAGCTAAGTGGCACTTTTTATTATTCCACCCCATCCCCCACCCCACCCCTCCAACCAAAAGAAATATGTCTAATGAATGTCTCATGGCTGAAACACTGGATAGGATTTATCAAAGGGAGTCAGTAATTACCAAATTGAGAGAATCATGAATCGCTTTTCTAAATTTGAAAAGCGCATCAAGAATAGATCAGGAGCAGGCGAAATTAATAGTTACGAACTCATTTCCATAGAAATGGACTTATTAGCAAGCATGCCAGCTGCCTGAAATTATAAGGCCTTATCCTATCGCTTGGAAGGAATAATGGGTCTGGGCACACGTGGAGATTTCAGTTCTTTATCCCCACCAAAATTTTGTCTTCTTCTTCTTCTTTATTTCAAAAGGACACTTGGATTCTGCTAAGTTTGCAGAAGAGGGAGGAGATCTGTGATTTACAAAAATGCTTTGCAAGATTTTTTGAGTAGATGGAGCATGCTGTTGAGCCAACACTCAGAGTAATAGGTTGGGTTTCCCCCCCTGTTTTGGTGGGTGGGGCTACAGGAGCCCCATTTAGAATACAATAACAGAGTTGAAAGGGACCTTGGAGGTCTTTTAGTGCAACCCCCTGCTTAGACAGGACACCCTACACCACGTCACACAAATGGTTATCCAATCTCTTCTTAAAAACTTCCAGTGTTGGAGAATTCACAACTTTGGAGGCAAGTTCTTCCACTGATTAATTGTTCTAACTGTCAGGAAATTTCTCCCCAGTTCTAAGTTGCTTCTCTCCTTATTAGTTTCCACCCATTGCTTCTTGTCCTGCCCTCAGGTGCTTTGGAGAATAGCTTGGCTCCCTCTTCTTTGTGGCAGCCCCTGAGATATTGAAACACTGCTATTTATTTAGAATATTTACTCTAGCTCAGAGAAAGCTGACAAAGTGTTTTACAATGGAACTAGCTTTGCAAAGCAAGATTTGCATACTAAATGGAAAAGGATATCTTCTAATATTTGAGGGGCTGTCACAGAGAAAAGGGGGCCAACCTATTCTCCAAAGCACCTGAGGGCAGGACAAGAAGCAATGGGTGGAAACTAATCAATTTAGA